CCACCCCCCTCCCCAGGAGACTTATATGAGTTGGATTTACTAGAAGAATGATCAAGGTTCATAGACTACATGGAGACAGCAGGAAAAGCTTTTGAAGAGGAGGTGAGAGTTGCACTTGGAATTGAAAGGTGCTTGGACTCACCAGGTAGATAGTGTTGGGGAAGGACATTGGGCATGTGGAGCAAAGGGCATGTGGAGCTGTTTCTTGAGTCAGTATTCTTGGCACAGGGCCCTGAAATTAGTTTAGTAATCCTGGAGCATATGCTGTGCATTCTTGGGAAGTGGGGTTTGGAGCTTGAGACTTGTGGAGGTTAGGCTTTAGTCCATGGACTGTAGAAAGCCACTGAAAAGTGTTTACAAAGGCATTAGCTTATCACTCAGCAGTCGTCTGGAGAAAGTGTTGGAAGGGGAGAGGCCTGCCACAAAGAAACCAGATAGTTGGGTATTGCAAGTGCTATAGGTATGAAATGATGAGGGTTTGGAGTGAGTCTAGTAGGGGTAGGGGAATAGAGGTTGGGAGAAAGGATGCATATTTTAGATCATGCAGATAGGACCTAGACTAGGGCAATCAAAGTAAGACTAATTAAAGAAGAGCCTGCCAGGAGACACATTGTAATCCATGCCTTAAGAGTCTTTTAGGAAAGAATCAAAAATTATTGGGCAGTTTTGTAGGCAAGGATGAGTTGGATTGGACAGGGTGTGTCATTCTCTAAAATAGAGAGGTGATTCCAGGTGGTGGTGGGAACTGAAATGAAAGGTCGAAAGGTCAGGTGTGGAGATGTCAACTTTTTTTTTAATTGTTTTTTTTTAGAGAAGGGAATTTAGAGAGAGAGAGAGAAATATCGATCTGTTGTCCCCCTTATCTGTACATTCATTGTTTGATTCCTGTATGTGCCCTGACTGGGGATCAAACCCACAACCTTGGCTTATAGGGTCAACGCTCCAGAAATGTCAACTTTTGAGTGGGATAAAGAGGGGATACAGTTGAAGACAGAGCCCTGGGAGGTGCCCATGTGTAGAGCAGGGTTGAAAATGTAGGGAAGGGACCAAGATTATGAGGTCCTGGGAGCAGGGGAGGAGGGTTGCGTAAAGGATGTCATCAATAGTATTTAAATGAGGGTGAGGTAGAACACTGAGTTCAGCAAAGATCTTAGTAGAAGCCAGGTTCTAAGTTGAGGAATGTGAGAGGTAAAATACTGGTAGTTATTGTCAGGAAGTTCCAGCAAAGGGGAATGCAGAATAGTGGCTAAAAAGGACTGGAGGATCAAGTGAAAGTTTCCTTTTTCATGGGAGGGAAGATAGGCATTTGTACGAAAGAAGTCAAGAGGGAGTGAAGATGCTGACAAGGATGGGCAGGCCCTAGAAAAAAGAAAGCAGACATGGTGTGGAGAATACAGATGATTGGGGTATCCAAGGAAAGGAATGAAGGCATGGAGGGTAGATGCAGAAACATTTTGAAAAGCAAAAGAGGGAAGATCAAAGTATTTGATGCTTTTAATTTTCTCAATAAAGTGGGATCTCAGAACCATAGAGCTGCAAGGGATCTTAGAAACAGTGTAGCCCAACCCTACATATTTAAAAATTATAAACTTGCTTTAGAATGTGGTTGTTATTCCCCAAGATGACCTACAGCAAGTGGCCAAGCTGGAACTAGAACTCATCTATCAGGGAGTGTCATTTAGGGAGTGTAATATGAAGTGACCAAGAGGCAACTAGTCCTTACCTCAGTAGCAGTAGTAGTTGTAATAGTTGATGCTTGTCGTGATTTAGAGTTCCTAGAGTATACTTGCACATCTTACTTTATTTGTTCCTCATAACAACCCTGTGTGTTAGGAATATCCTTCATTTAATAGCTGAAAATATGAAAGGCACTGGGAATGATTTTGGTCCAGGAATTCCAGGTCAAGGATGCTAAAGGAATGATGGAGTCGGTGAGGCTGGGATTGAAGTGGCTGACCACGAGTTAGGGTGGACAGGGAAGAGGACTGAAGCCCAAATTGGGTCAGTGAAGCTCTGGATGGATTGAGAGGTCTGAGCAATTGCAAGTGAAGCTAACACCTGATTTACTGGACCAGTGTGGGAGAAAAGGAGGTGCCCATGGAAGCTGTGGCCAGTAAAGGGAAGCACACATTGGGAAGAACAGTGTCTCTGCTCTGCTTATATGCGGGGTTACTGCAGATTTTGGTTTGTGAGGTTGAAGGTGAAAGAATCTGAAAGTCAGTTAATTTCTGCCCTTACCCATTTGAGATGTGTGTAGTTTCTTTCATAAATATTCTAATATTTTTAATATACATTTTTAATTTTTGAACTTGTGTTTCTGTAAATTCTTAATTTTGGAACACCCCACTATGGATTGTCTTGGTGTCACCTGTAAGTGTAATAAGTATTTTCTATACATTTTTATATAAATCTAGGCCATTATACAATGCTAATATTTAGATCTAGACTTCTAGATATCGTTTTGGCTGATACTCCTGAATTGTTGATTGGTAGTATTAGCACCTAAATAACTTTCCATGATTCTTTTGTCATTGCAGCATATTCATTTTATTACTTAACAATATGTTTTGAATGCTGGTGCTCCAAATATTGCCAACCGACCAGTTGATAAGACAAAGTTGAGTTTATGGCTTCGGCTGGTGAGGGAGAACACCTGGACAGAGCTTTGGCAGAATCTTGGAGGGAGAAGGGCAAGGTTGGATTTCATTGGGAATTGGAATAAAATTCTTGAGTCTTTCAGTGCCGAGACTTGCTTAGGATGTTACGAATCACAATATAACAGTCTTGGATTGGTGGCAATAGCCAGGCAAGGATTTTGAGTCTTTGGAGGAAAGTTGCTGCTGTTTCCTATAGAGAGTAGATTTGTCTTTCACAAATTCTTGTGGATGAACCATGCGCTCCAGATCTAGACTCCAGGGATAGTAAAGTTATGCTAACAAGTCAGTCAAATTCTAGTCATGTTAATTTAGGCAGTAAATTGTGTGAGGGTGGGTCGTACATTTCTTTCTCAGGTCTTTCAAGTATGTTTTATGTTATACTTGAGACTTCTAAAGAATATTCTGGTGTGTTACCATATGAGTTTTTACTTACTGTTTGTGATCTTAACTTTAAAACACTTTATTTTCTTAAAACTTTGAGAGATTTTACTGTAGGATGCCATTAGCTATATCAAGCTTTGGGTGCAATACACTTTCTGATGAAAATAATATTATATTTGTCATAAATGTGCTAGGGAAAATTGGGAAAACTTAAAGTGGTACTATTCCGGAAGATTACCTCATAAAGAACAATTATAAAATATATTTGTATAGTATGATTATTCTTTGTATTTATGTTTATAGTTATATTTTATGCATTTTTTAAAAACAGACTTTCACATGCTTTTTTCATGGTTAGCACAGCTAAATACTAAGGTTCTGTGTGTTTATTTTCCTTTAACTATTCTGCATTTGGGGGTGTCTTTTTAAAAGCAATGTATGTTTTAGCCTGGCCGGCGTGGCTCAGCGGTTAAGCGTCAACCTATGAATCAGGAGATCACGGTTTGATTCCTGGTTGGGGCACATGCCTGGGTTTCGGGCTCAATCTCATCATTGATGTTTCTCTCCCCCTTTCCTTTCCTCTTTCTCTAAATCAATAAAAATATATTTAAAAAAGAAAAGAAATGCATGTTTTAATTCAGGATAAAGAAAATAGGTCATTTAAAATTTACAGACATTTTTGTGAGGCTTGACTTGGTTCTGTGCATTCAGTAAGGGTTTATTGGGTGCCTATTGTATTTGAAGTTCTGATTGAATGTCACGTTTTTCTTGTGGCTCTTTCTACATTTGAGAAAAGGGTAGAGGCCAGGATTTATTTGTTGCTCAACAACTGCAAGGTATTAAACAAAAAAATTGAACTTTTTAAAAGAAGGAGTTTATTAGGCCATTGCTTGCAAAAATAGGAGGACTGGTCTTGGGGCATGTAGCCTAAACCACCAGCAGCATGACAACATATCCATCCATGTCCATGGTCTGGGAGTTTGCAAGTATTCTTATGCATCACAAAGGGGGAAGGGAGAAAATGGAGGTAATCTGACAGAGTTTACATTAGCTGTAGGCAAAGGGGTGGGAGAAGGTGAAGTGGGCAGGACCAACTCTGGGATAGGCACAGGGTCTGCATGAAGAAGTGGCCGCTCCTGTGGATGGGCTGGGGCAGCAGCAGGAGGCCAACGTGTAAACAAGCAGAGGCCCCTGGTTACATGGTGCCTGGCTAAAATAATCCGTGGAAACAGCCACCTGGAATTTATTCTAAATTCTAGCAGATATGCAGGGATATGAGCAGTCTTATATCAGAGCTGGTCCACAGCTATTAACAAGCTAACTCTTCTGTCTCTATCTCTCCCTTTAACGGTCGCTTTAATTTTAATTTTGAACATCTCAGAATTTTTTCCTTGTCAGTGGAGTAAAGATAATAAAGTAATGTATAGTTTGTAAAATACATGTACATAATACCAGTTTGAATCTATTTATAACAATTATGTAGACAAGGGAAATAGGCTTAGTTTACACCTGAGAAAAAGGTTTGAAAATTGTTGATATAAGAGTTGTGAGTTTATTTGAGCCAAACTGATGACAATTGCTGGGAAGCAAAATCTCAGTGGATTGAGAAAATGCTCCGGAGAATGGCAGTTTTGCAGCTTATTTTTACATTAGAATCAAAGGACAAGACATAAAGGGGTAACATGAAATCCATTAGTAATAGATTAGGGAGGGGGGAGAAAGGTGAGGAAATCTCTGGGATTGGACAAAAAATGGAAAAATAGACCATATTTTTTTTTACATTGGTAGTGTAGGATAGTTAATAATTAACATGGTAACAATAACAGTGAAGGGGTTCTGTGGTCTCCTGCTCTCATGGGAGATTGTGTAGGAGGGGTCTGGAAAAAGCAATTACCCTGACATTCTAAAGGTATCCTATATAATAAAAGGGTAATACGCAAATTGACTGAATGGCCTATCGACCAGTCGCTATGATGTGCACTGGCCACGAGGGGGCAGACGCTCAATGCAGGAGCTGCCCCCCTGGTGGTCAGTGCGCTCCCACAGGGGGAGCGCCGCTCAGCC